TGAAGACAACATATGATGTGATAATCCATTAGAGTGCACAAGTATGTTTTACATTTTCTCCTGCTAGTCTTATTTATTTCTAATGCTCTTATTTATTACAATAAACACATGCAGGACATATTAAAACACAGGACCAACAATGTGCCTGATTTGAGTCTGGCTGGTGACCTTTGTTGAACATCTTTTTCCGTCGATTCCGGTCATCTTTTCATTGTCTGTAATAAATGAACAAAATGCCACATAAAATACTAGAAAGCAGTGAAAATATATTATCGTATGCTGTTAGGGTAAGAACCAAGGTTAAAGTTAAATCATCTCTTATTGATTTTTGTCATTAAATCAATACCACAAATCATACAGGTGAATGGTCAGATAAGGAGAAGTAGCTCATTTAGAGAAGGATTTTATTGTTTTAGGATAAGATTTCCCCTTATATTAACAATAATTAAGCTGTTTTTTACTGTTTGTGTACCAAATTAGCCATGTCAATGACACATTTCCATTGTATTCTGGAGTTAAGTGTTAAAATGAAAGAATCATCCAACCCAGCCTACATTTATCATCTATTATTGTGATTTTTACACATATTGAAGCCATCTGCCTTCACCTTCATGTGTCTTGGCTGGTAGAGTTTAAGAGACACGTTTAACCTTTATGTACCGCAGTAAATGTTTCAGTAAAATTGCAGTGTTAGTACGTGTGGTTGCTACACCCAGTTTGTTTGTGCACCAAAGATAAAAGTGCTTGATGTCCATCCAACTCAGAGCACTGTTTTTAGTGATAAGGGCCAGATCATACCCATAGCTGTGCTGTTCTGGGCCGTGGAACTGAGCCATTTTGTTTCAACTAATTCTGATGACTCAAATGCTAACGAAATGAGACGCACATTGGGAGATGGAGCGAGAAACTCCCACACATCTCAGTAGTTGAGTATTATATGAAATTCATATTGGATGAGAGGTCTATTTTTAACTTTTATTCATGCAGGGAATGTTTCCTGAGCGTGAGTGCTCTTGTTTCAGGATCACCCTGCTCTACACTTAAACAGATATTTACACCTGGAAGCTGCCCAATACAACCACAGTCTGATCTGGTCCACTGGAGCAGATGGAGGTTAAGAGCCTAGCTGAAGGACATCTCAGTGGTGGTAGCAAGCAAGGGACAAGCAGTGCTCTGTTACTTCCTTTCCTAGATTTAATCTGCTGGTTCAGGGATTGAACCACAGATCTGCCGGTCATAATCCCATTTATTTAACTTTTTAATAATTCAGTACAAGCTTTGTAAGAGTGTGGAAACCGATGCATCTATCCATCATGTCACATATATCTTGTTATTTCTGAGTATGCGTAGTTCAGGTCTGTCTGATTTGTAGCCACGCTGCTGTGTCTGTCAGCCAGTCCACCGCTTTGGTCCAAACTGAAATATTTTAACAACTACTTGATAGATTGCCATGAACTTTACTACAGACATCCATGCTCCTCAGAGGATGAATGTTAATGACTTTGTTGATTCTTTAACTTTTCCTCAGTGCAATTATGAGGTTGACATTTATGGATATGAGTAAAATGTCTCAACAATTATTTGATGGATTGCCATGAAATGTGGCTCAAACATTCATGTCGCCCTCAAGATTCACTGTAATAATTTAGCGATCCCTTTCACGTTCCAAAATAATCAGGTTAAAAATTTTATTAGTCCTGTACTTTGGGAAATTGATGAAATTCCCCTCAGCCTAAGCTGTACTTTGTGCTTACTGCTAATTAACAAATGTTAGCATGCTAACACACACAATTTAGATGGTAAACAGTATACCTGCTGAACATCTGCATGTTAGCATTATGAGCATCTTAGCATGCTGGCATAAGCCTTTAGCCCAGAGCACACCCAACTACAGCATCACAGAGCCAGTAGCTGTAGACTCTTAGTCTTGTTCCCCATATATTTAAATTATTAAAACAGCTCCATTCATTATGGAGCATTTTTTCCTCTGTCTATATAGGGATTGCAGGACTGAGCGATCGTGACCGACTTGTTCAGTTATTATTGTCCTAAAATGTACTAGAAATCCTGTGCAGTTTGTCTTCCTCAGATAATTTCTCACAAATATATAGTCGATTTGTCTGGAGTGCGTACTCAGAGCTGGCTGTGAAGCAGGACTAATGGCTGCCATAAAACAATAGTGTAAGTCTGTGTCCTCTCTGTCCGTCCTCACTGTTGTCCTTAGAGTGGAGGAGATAAAATGCTTGAGCACATATCCATGAATGTTAATTTAATTGGTCTGGCTTGGCCTGATGTGAGGGACAAACAGGATAAAATGCACATAAACCTCAGATGAAAGTGGATGCTTTTAACATTATCACAACATCTACAGTAATGTTTAATTCAGAGCGGAGACATTGAGACCTCTGATTGTGGTTTTATTCAGCGACACACTCATTTTCAAATGTGTGATGGGTTAAAGTCATTCAGAGTAATTTTCTCAATAACTGAGTTTCCGTCTCAGTATATTATAACATGTTGGCTGTTTGTAACATCAGCCTACATAAAGGCAACACAAGTTATTTTAGAGGCATATATTTTAAGATGTATAAACTGGTCCTGGCCCCTGAATAATATAAGCTTATCCTTCCCGCTGTCAGCCTCAATTTGAATAATTTATCTGTGGCAACAAATAGAGGCAAAATCTCTGGCACCAACTTGGAGAATTGGCACTTGAGAAATTGGAAATTCCTTTTTTTTTGCTCGTATCACCATGACTTTAATAAAATCACCAGCAGAAGTCTCCTCTTGTTATGCTTGTCATCTTTCTCTGCTTTCCGAATCGAGGTCTTGGCCAATCACTCATCACTCTGTCGACAGGCGGCTTTCAGCTGCACTTGTCACACTGTGATTTCTGGAACCGATAAGAGCTCTGATTGAACATTTGTTTGGCCTGTGGAAACACTGATGGGAGAATGGCTTGTAGTTGTTCATTTTCTTTCTTTCTACGGTTAAACACCTTTCCTGGTCAGGCACTGTTGGCTTGAGTACAGAGAAGCGTCCAGACAAAACAAAGGTGTGATACATTGGGAATTGATAGTTATTTCTCATAAATATTGTCAGTAACTGATCTCAAATCATTGTCCACTGACCTCACAACACTGCAATATGCTGTGAAATGGCAGACTGTGGTGTAGACTGCCATAATCAATCATTTTACAAAATAAATTCTAGTGCACTTCCTCAGCGGAAATGGATTGAATATTACAAAGCCAAAAGGTGCAGACCTTGGCTGAGTCATAAAAAAAAGCTTTGTCATATGTTTCCAAAACTCTGTCGCAGTTGTTTTGCACTTCCTGTATTGTACAGGAGTTGTGGACAATTTTCACTGTATACGTCACATGTTCCATCCTTTATGAATCATCAACACTTATTAATATATTGTTATCTAAGAATTATTCTTCTGTGTCATAGTGCTGCAGCCTGTATAAAGAATCACTAGATAATTTTGTCCTTACAAGCAAAGTGCTTCCAGCTGTCTCTGTTTTTGACATGGATACATGTGCATTGGTGGACAGAGAGGTGTTTTGCAAAGAAATATTTCACTTTGATTTGATCCAAATGTATTAAACAATACACTATTTAGGTCGTACTGTAACTATTCAACTAAAAAGAACTGAATGACATATCCACGGGACGTGATTGAACTGTCAAGAACAAATTTTAATTAAAAACGTAACAGATTTAAATTAAGTTTATGGGTTTAACGGCTAACCTTGTGGATGGCTCTGCTTGTTTGTATTTTTATTAATATTTTAATTAGTGTGTCTGTGTTTGATTACTGCTTTATGTGGATGAATTGTCTTCTAATTTGTTCTCAGGTTCATCTTATAAAAAAGATCTTGATCTCACTGAAACTTACATCATAACAGAAGTTCCCTTATTTTACCAGTGATTGCATATGTGGAACCTGAGACACATCAGTGGAAAATCTTGCAAAACCAGTTTCAGTTGGCTTCTCTCTTTGTGCTCGGGGCGTAGACCTTTTGAACATGTACTCTCTCATTACCTACCTACTCAGCAGCTGCAGAAAATCCAATATGGCTTAAATGTTCTGACAGTGCTCCCAAGTCACAATACATTGTATTTATACACATATGCATACACATTTATAAGGAGCAATTTAGGGTTCAGGACACTTCTGCATGCACATGGGGGCCAGGGACAGAACAACCAATCCCATAACTGCGGACCCACTCCACCTGAGCTGATAGTTAGGGTTAGGGGTTAGGGTTAGGGGTTAGGGTTAGTGTTTTGCTTGATGTTTAATTAATATGCCTGCCATATTAACATGTATTTTTTATGAACTTCATAACTTGTGTGTTATCACCTTTATCCATCACTATGACACCAGATAAGTTCATTTAACTCAAAAAAATGTAGAAACTGATTCTATCAAAAGTCTTAAGTAACACAAACTCAATTCTTTAGATTAGAAAATATTCTTTTTTAAGCTGCTTTTACTAGTCATTTTAACTAGCACTAACTTAGTTTTGTTACAGAGTTTGAGTAACATTCCTAATTAATAACATTTTACTAGGTATTTTGTTTTCACAGTACAAATAAAAATGACAAAATTAAGTCATTTTCACTTCAAATTACTAAAGCTACTTGATTAAGAAGGTTATTTTTACTTTAGTAAGTTACATTTAAAATTATGTTAGTTTTACTCAAAAATGTTTAGGTAATCAGTTTTAACAATTTTTTGAGTTAAATTAACTTATCTGGTTTTACAGTGATTCATTATTTGTCTCCAAAATACACATTTGCACAACAAACTTGAATCCTGTGTGTGTTTTTTTTTTCAAGAGCTTCCAAAATGTGAAAATTGGCTAAACAACTCAACCTATTACCGAGCTACTGTCAATATCTGCATGTGAATTTTGACACACATACTCACAAGTTTATCCGAGCGCTGGCCTCTCTTAATGACAATGTTTTCATGCTGTGTGTTTTTTCAGGGACTGTGTGTGCAGCCTAAATGACGAAGTGGAACTTGTTCAGGCATCAGACAACACCAATGGTCGCTGCTCAGCCAACGGGGGCTAGTGCCTTGACTATGACTCCAGCCCCTGTCGCATTAGTCTCCACTGACAACTCCACCGAACCGGTCAACAAGAACGATGCCTTTGACGAGATCAAAAACAAGTTCCTGAATGAAATCGACAAGATCCCACGTGAGTGTTGGACAAAACCCAAACCTGTTCCGATCAACCAACTTGTATTGATGTGATTCTAAGCAAGGATTTTGGAATTAGATTTCCTTTTTTGCTGCAGGCATTGGCTGCCTCATAATGTCTTTATTTAGTATTGATCACTGGCTGCCCTTCCTAATGGCAGAGAAATCTAATTTTCATCCAATCTAATTGCTAACCTAGCACCTCTCACTAAATATATTTGGCCCAGGACATGACATGGAGTAAATGATTGGTTGGTCAAATGTCAAAGTATTTGCTTCTTTCTTCTCTTTCTGGGTGTGGATGTGCCATCTATACATTGGTCTGTATATTCTCCTCAGTGCCGTCCTGGGCCATCATTGCCATTGCCGTGGTCGCTGCTTTACTCATTCTAACATGCTGCTTCTGCATCATCAAGAAATGCTGTTGCAAGAAGAAGAAGAACAAGAAGGGCAAGAAGGGGAAGGGTGACATGGGAATGAAGAACCTGAAAGGGGGAGAGGTATGTTCCACCATGGGAGGTCGCATCACAGCCGAGGGGATTTACACCCACACTGCGCACAGAGTAAAGCGCACCACAGCTAACTTTAGCTTGTTCATGAGCCTCTTATATAACAGCTGTGGGGCTTACAGTAATAGAGAGACAACATGCATGTAGTGATAGGTTTGATTCAGCTAATTATAAAACAAGCGTTAATTTAGAACAGCAGTCCTCGTGTTGCACATTTTAGTCACGTTTCCTGTTTGAAATGTATTAGATTACATATCGTTGATACAGACTGTTAAACTTTTTGATGGCATTCTAACCCAGTCAGTGTATTCTCCACAGGTGTTAATTACATTCTTTATCCACCATGATTATGTTTTATTTTTCTCTTTTTTGTTATTTAATGTATTTGTCATGAACGTTATTGTTTCTTTTTTTTCTCTCACTTGTGCTTTGGGATTTGAGTGGAAAATGACAGGACTCTTATCTATTCAGCCTAACCATTGTTTTCCCAGTCATTAAAGCGTAATTATGAAAATAATTAGTAGTTAGCGCAATGCTTTTTTTGGGGCCTATAATTATTATTTTTTTCACATGCATGACTGATAATTTGACAAAGTACAATAAGAATACATCTAAAAGTGGAGTTATTTTAAAAGCCAACGGCCTTGCTGCACTAGATATGATTGTGCTAATGAGGAGGCTTCTCTATCTGTCATTTTCCTCGCTCCCTACAGTGTAGCTGACTGCATTTGCTGTGATTACCCTTCTTTGGTGTCTGCTGTGAGTTCAATCTCTGCCTTTGTCTCTGCTCTCCTCCTTCCTGCTTTGTGTCTTATGTGTGCTCCGTGTATCTTGACTGTGGTGGACTTCTCTGCCTACGGTAGGTCTGACAGCACGCGGCGCCCCTCTCTGGCCGCTCTGTGTAAGCGCAGACCAGGGCAGGGGGGGAGCGTTGATGGGGGTGGGCTGGGCTTGGAGGGGTTGGATTGCAGTGATGATGACAATGAGTGCTATGGCTTCCTTAGTTTTTTGCAAGCTTAGGTGCTGCGGGTGCTTGAGGAATCTATGGGAGCGATTAAGCTGCTTCGCAAAATCCACTGAACTGATATGCCGCACCAACTGCTATGTCTTGAATATCCAGAGATTGCATTTTTTTGGCAAAAAGAATAGAACAAAGATGTGTTTAAGTGTCTATGGTTTGAAATGAACATGAAACTCATCCTATGGTTGAGCCTTTGAATGACGAGTGCACTCAGCAACTCACTAGAGATCACTAACATGCATGTGCAAGGGGTAAGCTGGATATTTGTCAAATAATAGCTTAGTCTTTGCCTAACTAAGAGCTTTGAGCATGTTTCCACCATAACAGGCCTCGATTGTGCAACACAACCAAAAACTGGCATCTCACAAACAATTTATCTCCAGAGATACATTGACCTGGGTCTGAAATTCCCACGCAGTGCCCAATTTGTGCAAACACGCTCAGAGTTCCACAACAGATAAAGCTGTTTGTATCTCTTGACAAAGACCAGCATATGCCCTTGCAGTAGGTACCATTGAATGGCCACAACTTGACTTGAGAGTAACTTTCCTGGATGACCCATGCTGCTGACATACTAGGTGACAGTCATTGATGCCCTCTCTCCCTGAAGCACTTGGGTCTCACTGAGGAGAAATGGTGGGCCAGAATGTTTGCCCACATTTGCAGTCAACTGCTGATTTCAGTCGATCCAAAGTTAAACCTACAATCAGCTGGCAGTTATAACACATTATTCTTTGAATAAAACCTGAGTACTAAGCCCACAATTTACTCCCACTGAGTTGACCAAAGGGCATACATTCAGACGTACCAAGTCTTTATCTTTGAACCCCCACTGGAAGTTTGAGAACAACTGTAAATTCTCAATATAGCATGATCCCTTCATGGATGTGTACATTTCACTCAGCAACACGCGTATAGAAATTTTTGGACCTGACAAAAATTTGTCATAGAGGTTTAAAACAGAACATCGAATTATCTGCCTTCAGAAATTATAAGGTAATTCATTTACATTTGCCATCAGTAAGAAACTCGGATCCTGCATTGTGTGGCCTGGCATGCTTGAATGAAGAGCATTTAACACAATAAAGATAGAGAATGCCACATATAAGGATATTCTATGAGAATGTGTGTGTGTGTGTGTGTGTGTGTGAGAGAGAGAGAAAGTGAGATTTAAAGCATGCATGAGAGCCTGCATGTAAGCAAATGTGTGTGCGCGTGTGTGTGTATGGGGGTGTACCATACAGTATGGTGTGTAGTGGGTATGATAGTGTGTGTATTATCTGTATGTGTGCCCTGTTCCTCTTCCAGCTCATCAGTGAGTAGCTGGACCCTCCAGTCTTACGAAGACATCAGTGTTTTTTCAAGAAGACAGCCATAGGAAAGTAGGCCATACTGAGATATTATCCAGCGTCATACAGTATCCAAAGTGAAAGTTTACTTTAATATTCACATCAGAGAAAATTGCTCTCACTTGATTAGTCATGACCGAGTCACTGAGTGTGATGTAAAGGCGAGAGATACATTAACTGAGGACTTGACTTATCGTCTTCATCAAGACCCGATAATCTCAAGAGCAGTTAACTGACAGTGAACTGCTGAATTTTCTTCTAGCATATGATCAAGAGTCACAATAATTCACATTAGAGTATCAGCTGGAAAATCTGGACTCTGGAATAAATTGTGAAATAAATCAGTAATTAAGTTAAGCTACAATAATGAGGCCAGAGTAATAACAGCAGCAAAATCCTATCAACAATACCAGTGTAAACTCATTAATTAGACTTTGGTATGTCAGGAGGAGATAAACTGCAAACAGTAATAATGTCAGGCTTGAAATAAACCTGTTTGTCGAACAGCTTACACTATCAGTTGGAGGATATCCGTCTGCAGTTTTAGTTTGAGAGCTTTTCAAGAAAAGTGTCAAGAATCACTGTGTCAGTGGTTTGATCAAATCTGTTCCTCAGAGCTCTGTCCTTCAGTTCCTCTCAGTAAGGACACTCTGCTTCTTGTGACAGCTTGCATTTGAAATACTGTACACAGGGTGGACAAAATGACAAGAACACCTTGCACTATAGTGCAATGCGGTGAAATACAGTAGTTCTGAGTAGTTCTGCAGTAAATACAAGTTTGAAGTGTTCAAGTTTTCTGACAAAAAGTCAGATTTTTGTTGTGTTTTGGAGAAAATATTCAATAATATTCTCCACCCTGTTTACTTCTGACTTTGGCTCATCTTTGCTGATACAGCTATCATCTGTGTGGGCTATGCCATCAACATTTTTTAGACTTTTTTAACTTTTAATGTAATATGACTCACTTGGGATGAGTCATATTTGGGATTTGTGTTGCGGCCTGTGTGACCACCTTTCAAAGTTGAAATCCTGTTTCAATTCATGTTCCCGTTATTTTGTCCATCCCCTGTAATATCCCAACTACAGGCAGCTACACAAGTGAGTCATATTTATTTGTCAAAACAATTAGCAGTAATAAATGTTCACTATTTTGTGAAAAAGGAGAACTTCCAGAGGTCTCTGCATGGCTGTTGTTTTAGATTGCAGTATATTGTAAGGTGTTCCTGTTTTTCTGTCCACCCCTTGTATACTGACTGTTTTTACTCTGTTGTTTCTCTCTTTTTCTCACTCTGTCTCTATCTATCTCTCTGTACTCTTTGCACAGTAACATAGAGTCCTATTTAAATGGCATATTGTAGTCAAAGAGAAATTCCCCACCTCTGATTTTAGCAGATTTTAACATACCTCATAAAAAAGAAAAAGAAAAAGAAAACAGCAAATGGTGTCACCCAAGAAATAGTGAAATCAAGTCAGGTTGCAACCGTGGTCATCGATGAACAGATTGCACTAGTAACACCGGGGTGAGCGGGGGTAAGTGGCAGGTAGGTGCTGTGACTAACTCGACTGCTGATGCTCGAGGTTTTGTGATCAGCACAGCGGCCACCGCAGAACCGTCCTCTTACTCTTTCTCTTTGCCCCCAACCCCTTCTGTCTTTGCAGAAACAACAGGACGACGATGACGAAGAAGATGATGTCGAACCTGGATTGACTGGAGACGAGAAAGAGGAAGAAGTGAAGGAGAAAGAAAAGCTCGGGAAGCTGCAGTACTCCATTGATTATGACTTCCAGGAGAACAAGGCAAGCAGACAAACTACTTGAGTAGCTTATTTGACATTTTCTTGTCAAAAAGAAGAGTCTGTCTGTGAGCATGTAAGCATCACACTCTACCACCATTTCCTTTGTGTGACATTTCCTTTGGCCTGTTTTTTTCTCTGCCAATAATCAAAAAAGAAAAACAGGATCATGGACTTAGTTAAGGATTTTGGGCTGTGAGCTGGAGAGAGAACTGAAAGACTAGGTGGTTACTGATTTTTAATGACATACTTCCTCTCTCCTACTTCCCCAGCTGGCTGTGGGAATCCTGCAAGCAGCTGATCTCCTCTCCATGGACAGCGGTGGCACCTCTGACCCCTACGTCAAGGTCTTTGTCCTCCCTGACAAGAAGAAGAAGTATGACACAAAGGTCCACAAGAAAACGCTCAACCCTGTCTTCAATGAGTCCTTCACTTTCAAGGTTAGCTGAAACACCTCGTGGTCATCTTTTACTTATAAGTTATTAAAGCAACACATACGTGAAGCCGTTTGATAGGTAGACAGGTCCTGGTAAAGGTGAAATGCTCCTCTTGTCTGTCTCTACTTCCAGGAGTGCTTAGCAGGTGCTTAGATTCTGATTTCTTTTTCACAAGCACTACTGGCCCAGCTGTGATAAAAAGCAGCAGACACATTGAAGGTGTCCGACAAGGAGAATGTGGTAGAGAATATAATTAAAGGAGAGGGCCACCTCTGGTGCACCTTGCCTGCTGACACAGCTCTATAAAAAAACAATTCAAACAGCTTTTGATTGTCAAAGTCAGGCTAGTTCTGCTGAGGCTGCATGTTATTAAGTCAGGGGATTTTGAGCTCCAGGCCAAAGTCACAACCCATATTGCTGTATAGTTCTGATCTGACCTGCACTTTAAGGCCACGGTTTTCTGTCTTCCAGATTCCATTCCAAGAGATGGGAGGGAAGACTCTGGTAATGTCCGTCTATGATTTTGATCGCTTCTCTAAACATGATGTCATCGGCGAGATTAAAATACCCATGAACACCCTTGACCTGGCAAAGCCAATTGAGGAGTGGAGAGACCTGGACAGCGCAGATCAAGAAGAGGTAAGAGTCATGCAGTAGAGTGTTGCATTTACCACGCTGCAGTTTTTGTCCATTACTTCCGCTGATGTGAGTTGTAGAGATGTGTGGTTTTTTTTAGACTTTTCAAGGCCGATACCATAATCAATATTTGAGAGAATGTATTTGAGAATCCAATAACAATATATTGGCCTTTTTATATTTTTTCTATAAAAACATAAAAAAACGTACTTCATAAGAATCCCTTAAAAAGATGATATCTTTTTATAATAACAATATATCGAATGACAATCTGAAAACAAGGTGAAAGGGTTGCTTGTAGTAATTAACCTACAGAGAATTATCATCTGAATCTGCAGCTGCAGATAAAAACATACTGTACACTACATGCTCGGTACCAAACAGCAGACCGGCAAAGTCTGTGACTAGTGAGTGAACATACTGGAGCATTTAGCTAAAGATGTTGTTTCTCTCAGGAGTTGGTAGAGGCTTAGAACAGAACTTCAAGAGATGACTTCAAATGAATGATAATGTTGCTGGATGTGAACTATATAATGGGTGACACTACATTACCTTCAGTACATTCTTGACATTTTATTCTGCAATTTCTGCAATTACATACAGGTAGATATGTATTGATACAATGATATCTGAAATGAAATGAAATAAGCTGATATTATTGGTATATGGACCAATTTATTAGTCAGTCTCTGTATGTTCACTATAGAACCTTTTAGTCCTCTGTAATCTTAATGCAATATGTAATATACATTTTAAACATACTGAAATACTTTTAATCAGATTCTTAGCAAAAACACAGTTTTTCAATATAGAGAAACCTGAACAGTTTACTCAGCTGATGACATAGTACAAAAATAACCATGAGCACAGGCTGGCAACTTTGTCTGTTTACCAATGAGATTCAAAGGGCTGAAGGACACATTTTTGTTTTTCTAACCAACTGTGTTGCTTGCTCTGTAGCCATGCAACCTATTATGTGGTGTTTTCATCATTATGCTGTACCAGAATATGAAAAACAGGTTTTAATCAGCGAAGCCTCCCCAGAGCCACCTTAAGAAGAAATACTCACTCTTGTAGTTTGCAGTTTCAGATGTTTTATTAGCTTTGAAAAGACTAACTAGATGTACTTAAGAATACCGTTAATTCCTGCTGCTTACACAAAAAAAAAATGGCAGCAGGTGTAATTTGTACTGAAGGTGTAAATTTAATATGGAATTCCTAAGGGATGGATTGTATATTTATGTAGTGTACTGTACATCAGAGAAAAGAGTTCTGCGTCAGACCTCCTTTAACTTTCTCTCCCTGGCCCTTTTCCTCACAGCCAGAGAAGCTGGGTGACATTTGCATCTCTCTGCGTTACGTCCCCACGGCTGGCAAACTTACCATCTGTATTCTGGAGGCCAAGAATCTGAAGAAAATGGACGTGGGTGGACTGTCAGGTATATAGACAGAGCTGAGCATCAGATATTGCATTTTATTATCACATCATCACACTTGACACTATTTTAATGCTCACTATTTGGTAATAATATACACTTTGGTCTGCTTAATGTGAATTTTGGATGCTTGCAGTGGGACTGCAACATACAAAGGAGCGTGCCTGTGAGCTCAGCCATTAGGTCGGCCCTGCTCTGCTCACGTGCTGACGTTGCAGTACTTACCATGCACCAGCTCTCGCCCCCCCTGGCTTCAGCATTGGCCCCATCTGTTGGTGCATTACAGCACTGCAACCCAAACATGCATGTGCAATCAGATTTTATCTATCATGCCTTTTGCCTTCTTTCCATTTTTAGATCCTTATGTGAAGATTAACCTGCTGCAGAATGGAAAGAGGCTGAAGAAGAAGAAGACCACAGTGAAGAAAAACACTTTGAATCCGTACTACAACGAGTCCTTCAGCTTTGAGATTCCTCTTGAGCAAATGCAGGTAAAGACGAGGACTAACTTGTTAAAATCCTATATAATTCATCAGGGGTGAAAAGAGAATCACGGTATCTTACTGTAATAAAAATGCTGTTCTCAAGGAACTGGTGGTGTTGGCTCTGTAAAGCAAGCAAATATTCCCAAGTTGAGGATGGGAATACACCTGTATATATGAGTAATATTTGATGAATTATCACTGCATCATCTTCTAATTAGATAATTGGAAAAGTACATATACTATACTAGACTATAACCAGTCTTGGGAGTAATCACATAATTTACATGCTTAGTGCGGCTATATAACTTCTGAAACAAGATATTACATATTCTGCCTCTTACAAATGAAAAGATAAATTAATAAGCAATAAAATGCAGCCTTGCTCAGTTAAATACACTGAAGGGTTTTTCTGCTACAGCCTTATTTGGTTTGATATGACCAGTAGTTTATGGCGGCTAATGTGTCCAAACTTTAGATAGATATCACTGTGTAGCTAACATTATTGAGACAGTTTACTGACTCAGTGATTATATTGCTTTTAAAGGAAAAGTTGACAGTGACATTTTGGGAAATGCTTTTATTCACTTTGTTGTCAAGAGTTAGATAAGAAAATCAATACCACTTTCATGCCAGTCTGGTAAGTATAGGGCTACCACCAGCAGCCAGTTAGGTTAGTTTAGCATACTGTAAAGTCTTGAAGTTTTGCCATCCATAGTTAGATATCTATCTATATCATCAAGATAGATATCTATCCATCTATATCTAGCACTATGAGGTTCCATTGCAACCAGCAGAGACTCCAGGAAGTCACTGCTACTGGCCAAAAAATAATCTAGCACATGACCTCCCAATAACTACAAGTTGTTGTTTTTACATTTAGTTTTTTTGCACTGATTAAACAAACAAAATAAAATGTGTTGATCAATGGGATATTATTATTATTATTTGGATTAGTGGTGCCAGCCAACTGTCGGCTGACTGTGGCCTTTTATTTACTGTACAGTCATGAGAGTGGTATCGATTTTCTCATCTTATTATTGCTATAAAATTATCTAATAATTGAGACTTGTGGCCACAGTGGCCACTGTTCGTGGCTATGCATACATTGCATACAAACACTGTAATCTTTTTGGATATAATATGCTTATTGATTTCCTTAATTGTTTATCTAGCAAACAAATCAGCATGAAACATGCAATATATATATTTATCCAAAAAATGTAATTACGTGTCCTATGTAGTCTACAATAGGAAATACCTACAAATCAAATCTTTAATTTGGTTCTGATACCAACCATTGCACTGGGACCATCACATGCCCAAACACTGGGCATTATGCACCATCAACTACAATACTTCTTTCTGTGAAAGCAGAATTTCTGTCTTTTCACCCCTCATATCCGTGTAAACATCATGGCATTCTGACTCTTCTTGTAATGCTTTCTCTCCATTCTCCCAGAAAATCCAAGCTGTGATCACAGTGCTGGATTATGACAAGATTGGCAAGAACGACGCCATTGGGAAAATCTGGGTGGGAAGCAAGTCCACAGGGGCTGGGCTGAAACACTGGTCCGACATGCTGGCCAACCCCCGTCGCCCCATCGCCCAGTGGCATCCACTGCAGCCAGAGGAGGAGGTGGATGGCGCCCTCGCAGCCCTAAATGCCAAGAAGTAAACTCCCAACGGAACTCATCGTTCCCACTTCCACCGACCTACCCATGCATTTCCCATCATTCCCCAGGTCCCACATATCAGTGTATATTCCAAAAAAACACCCTAACTGTACATCTGCTCCCTCCACCCCCACTCCTCTCCCTCCGCCACCTTTCAAAAGATCCATAGATACCATTCAACATGATGGGAAATATAGTTTAAAAAAAGCATCATGTTATATGAATTCATGTCATTGAAAAAAGAAGACAAGTAACAGGATGGACAGATACTCCGTTGATTTCCTTTAGATCTATTTTTGTATTGGGGTTGTGGTTCCATTAATAAGAATACAGAGTAGACTATGAAGAACAGTAAGAGTGCTATATGGTAATCTGGTGATAGAGGGGATAAAACATACATTCACTCATATTGTACTTCTCACCCCTTCCCTTTAGTGACACAGTTTGCTTAGAATAGTGCTTAATAATAAAATGCTTTATACTGCCATATGATAGAGAAGTAACACAAGCAGGTCCATTCCTTAGGTGTATTATGCACCACGTTCCACACCTGCCAGTTATCATACTAGATGATTCTGTTAGTTTGAAGTACATTCCTAGAGTTGGGTAGCAAGTAGGGATAGGCACATATCCAGTTACCCACAAACACACTGCCTTTTTGATTAGTTAACCTTCCACCCATCGTCTCAGGAAAACTGAGAGGAAACTGAAACTCCATGCCTTTTTTTATAAACGGGTTGTTATTATTCAAATACTCCACTTGATGAGAAAGAAACATTGGATTTAAAAGCTTGACCGCTTGTTTTTTTTCGGTGACGTAAGGCTCACGACTAGTATTAGTTTATCCATGAAATGGTATGTCAGGGAACAGGGAGTGATGGGTTTTCAGTAGTAAAAAAAAAAAAGGGTATTTGTGTATTTTTTGACTGTGCAAAAAGGCTGCGTCTGTCATCTGTACGACAAAAAGCAAGGAAATATCAGAGCAGGTACAACAGAGACTGATTCCAACCACCAATGACATGATATTTACAAGGTGTCGATTACTGCCTGCAGTCTACCACCTCCCCTCCCAACGCCTCTGATTCTGTATCTCACTTGTTCAGTGCTACTGCCATTAGTCATGGACTTGACACAAGGGTTTTACTTCAAAGGAATCCCTATAACCGTCTTACAGTCATAAAGGAGACAAGCCTTCAAAGTAACAAAATAAGCAATTTTCAACTTACCAGGGACGCCTTCCAGTTAGCGGTGTTGTTCTCTTCATTTCTTATTTTTTCTATCTCTTTTTCCTTTAATTTATCCAATTGTATTTAACTTTATTTAACTTCAAACACTTTTATTCCTCAAGCACTTTAAATCCAAAATGTTACGTTTAAGTACCCTCAGAAACCAGAGCTTTAATTATTTATGTTAGGAATAACTGCTGGTTAAAATAACAAAAAAGAGCAAGGGAGTGCATTATGTACGCAGTTTTTTTGTTGTTGCTTTGTTTCCGCTCAGCTTTTTGTGTATGTGTTTTGATTGTTTGAATATTACGTTTCTCACTTGATTGCAAGGATATGGTCTGAAAGAAGGCACTGATCCATGTGTATTTTATACACAGCTTACCAAACTGTTGAATTTAATTGCACTACTGGGTATTATTCTGTTCTGTGGTAATTTGACACTGTTCTTTGATCTGTGTAGTTTTTTTTATTGATAAAATGTTGTGAGATTGAATTTTTCTGTGGCATATGTGGCATGCCAGAAAGGTCTCCTCATATAAATGGACTCCTCCGATACGAAAAGAGACACGTTTCAATCTAATGCTGTTCCCTGGCTCCTTCATGGGATATAATTGGTTCAGTATTTGTAATTTAATATTCTGATGAAGTGAAATCTTGAGGATGAACTTTGTCCAAACTTGTTGGACTCATTAGTCCTAAATAAATTGGCGGAAGCTTAATTGTTATTTAAAATCTTGATGCGTCAGGTGCTTGGGCCCCACTATACCTCCTTGCAGGGCTAGTTGTTAACTAAAATCAATGCTGTCTGTGAGCACCAACAGCAAAAACTACCCATTGACTATGTGTGCAAGAAAATGCCAAGTCAATGCAAATCAAAGGTAGACAGTACCACAACTTTTTTTTTACGAATTTATGTTGGCTCCTGATCTTTCTCTGTTGGAAGTTGTTACACCCTATTTTTTATAACCAACATAGACCATGTTCAGATTTCTGTTTCTCATATTTTTTTCTTCTGTTGATGAAGCAGCACTAAAGAAAAGGCAACATGGAAGCAATCAAGCAACCCATTGGTGTGTAGTTTTGCCTATATACATAGTTCATACACGTTGATACTGCATGTTTATACAAAATACTGTACATAAGAGCATGTTTTAGAGACGAAGCAAAAATATCTCGTGTACGTAAATGGGTGTCATTTGTCATTTTAATAACACAACGAAGGGAAAAAAAGATGCACTGTATATTTTCTAAATGAAACAAATGTGTATTTATTTTCCATGAGGGTCATTGGAGAGAATGTCATACAAATATTAGAGTACTATTACTAATAAGAACCTTTCCACGCCTGAAATTCTTAAGCAAGTGTGTCGTCCAGTACTGTGTGTGAGTTCATGTAGGATGAAAATGTAGCCGCATGCTTGCTATCTAATTCCTTGTGATCCAGATTTTAATTTGATAACATTTATCTGCCATACATTTAGTTTCAGCACTTATCTGAAGGCCAATGTTTGACTTATTTCTGAATTTGATTGCTATTTCTAATTTTTTTTTTTAGATATCTTTTAAATTTTTTATGTTTGGGTCTCCAAGTCTATAAGATGACTATTTTCTATGAACGGATTTGGCACGGTTTTATTCTGAAATAACTCTTTAGAAGAAGATTGAATAATTCTGAGATCGTAGGTGGATTGTAGGAGTTGTCATTTGTGCCAGTACTGACCCAGAATGAAGTCCGTTGGATCATATCTTTGTATGAAATGCATTTCCAGGGGCCAAAAGATGAATAATCCCATTCCAGTGAACACAAAATGACTTGGAATCCCTTCTTCTCTCTCTCTCTTTACCTGGACGTATTTATTTTTCACTTCTATTTAAATGACCTGAAACCCTTCAAGGCTGTGTCTCTTTTACTGTGTTTATTATACAATATGTGTATGTGTATACAAGATAAATGAATAAGATAAAACTAAAGCCATAAAACTCAAGCACTAACTCTTTAGAGCTCAGCTGAGTAGCTAGAGTTTATTTATGAAAAAAAAAATCTGACATGTCATTTTCCTTGGCCAGTGTTTCTCTTTTACATTCCGTTCAGAGGTTATTGTTCATCAAGAGGGCAAAATCCATTTTACTGTATATGTGAGCATTGAGAACAGTTGTGAGTTTAGTAGAGTGAGTGTGTCTTTTTCTACTTTCAGAGCTGTTGATGTCCTTGTTTCATAGAGGTAGCTGATTTTCCAGTATTGTGATTAGTAATGTATATGCCTTGTTTTGATAGTATGAATAATAGATATAATATCACAATAGGTTCTCAGTAATACTGCTAAAATTATATATAAGAGAGTGTGTTCTGTTCTTGGGCTGAGTGCAATTTATGAATCAAACTGGACTACTCTTCAAGTTTCTCTTCTTCCAGTTTAGCAGCAGAATGTACTAGTGACTAAATGTACAATCAATAACACACTGCTGGTGATCTGCAGCTCACGCTGGTGGTTTTTTGTTGGTTCGTTTAACGTAATTCTCAAGCAACAAAACAATAGAGATCCAACAATATTAAAGCATAAAGAGAGAAACGTAATACAGTGGAACCCAGGTTTCAGGCCTGAATCCCTCCCATAGAACTATGCATAGAGTTATGGTTTTCACAAACACATGGCAAAAAGTATATTAAAGAAATACATTTTATGTCATGCACATGGTATAAATTTAAAGAAGTACTTCCAAATTTGGGGAAATAAGCTTATTTTCTTTTTATTTGCAGAGAGATGAGGAGATCAATAGCCACTCCCTTATTTGTGGGATAAATAAGAAGCTAGAATCAGGAGATGGTTAGCTTAGCTTAGCATAAAGACTAGAAACGAGGGCAAACAGCTAACCTGGCCAATCTGTCCAACAATAACAAAATCCAGCTTTTCCTGGTCAAATTTAAGTTTGTAGGGATTAAACAAAATAAATGTAATGTTAATTAGGGTGCTTTAGAGGTGCTGGTAGGTAGATGTTTTTTGGATAGAGCCAGGCTAGCTGTTTCCCCACCTTTGTGCTAAGTTAACCGTCTCCTGCCGCCCTACTGAAAGGACAGATAAGAGAAGTATCGATCTTCTCATTTAACTCGTGGCAAGAAGGCAAATATGTCTATTTCCCAAAATATTGAGTTGTTCCTTTAAGTTTACCTCAGTTGCTGGATTTTCTCCAGTAGTAAGTAAGTAAAAGTTAAACTGCCATCTATCTAAACCTGACAACAATCTTCGATGTGTTGTGTGACACTGCACATTGTCTAATGCAATATTATATCTATTCGCTGTCCCATTAATGCTATTGACTGTGACCAAATGATGCACTGAGAATAATTAAAATTCCAGGTTTCAGTGCGTTTCTGTAATACTGCCAGTACCTGATTACAGTTGCCTGCATCCGTCAACACTGTTTGAATCTACAAAGCCAAAATAACAATTCAAATAGAGGCAAACAGAAAACATCAGATGATGGGGCAAATGTGATTACAGGTACATTTATAGCACATTTAAGAGATTTATTCATAGATTTCCTTTCACTGCCTGGGTCGCCTCAGTCACATGACCACCTAAGTTCTATGGGGGACAGAAACTGGGAGCTGTGTGTGTTTGTATATGTGGGATATATAGATGAAGTGTAGGCCCTTTAGCAGACATGGTGCGAAAACACAGCACTAGAATATATTAATACAATATACAGTACAGGTCTGCATGCATGGGACACATTACTCATTCTTAAATGTACATCTTTGTGTGTATGATCGTAATACTCAAACAATCTTGGTTATATTTTAAATATGGGGGTTATTCTGTTCTGTTGATAGCTGTGTAAATGTTCAATACCTTATGCACAACTGCATCTGAAACAATGTGCTGTTTCAGCTGTGCAGAGACAGTTTTAGAGCACCGTTCACACAACTAGTTGTGTTTTTTTTTTTTTTAACAAACGCTGGGATTTAAAAAGGGAAACCATCCAAAGTTCAATAGATCATTTACCACCTTGTCAAAATGTGTTGAGAAGCCTCTCAGCGGGTAAAGTCACCACTTTGAAACATGTTGTCTTGTCTCCTCTATTACTCGCTGTATTTCTTCTTTGTATTCTTGTGCACATGTGTAATCACTCCTGTCTTTTTTGTTTTTGTGATGTATATTTCTAATGTAGAATGTAGGACTGTATTTGAATCAACGCCAGAATCACATTTGCTTTTTGTTTGTGTCTTTGTCCTGTTTATGTGTAACCAGCTATGTACCATCAGTATCATTAAGCTGAATAGGAAGCAGGCTCGTTGATTTCCCTTCTGAATCTGCTTTTGCTGAGCGTAAAGAATGCCGGCCTTCATGTTTACAACATGGACATACTGTATACTGCCAAACATGCAGGACCGTACCAAACTCCCCTTTTGAGCGCTTAGTCGTCCACCTCTCATCCCTGATGCAACTGTACTCTCAAGATTCTTTTCTTTTTTCTTTTTTCACCTCTTTCTCTTCTTCATCATCTTTTAAAGCGTCGGAGGACAGTCAGGTTGTGTCCTCTAGCTGTGTTTCTTCGTGTCTAGTGTCGTGGTGCGCGTGTTCATGTCAGTACTTGTGCCTACTGTGGATCGCATGCTTTAGCCCTTGACTGGACACAAACGTTGCTCACAAACTCCTCTTGACCCTTATGTGGACAAACGTTGGGGATCCTTATAAAGTTATCAAGGGAACCAAATAACTTATTACAAATTTATCATATGTGTTACCAGTTCTGTAAAAAAACAAATAGGAAATAAAGGCCTTTTAATTACCATGACTTGTTTGTGTTTAATATGCTGTGTGTTCAGCTCAGCTGGCTCCTAATAATCTCTCTGCCTCTGATGCATAATTTATTAATTTCACCCAGAGAAACACTTTCATTCCTCTACAGTTTATTAAGCAACGTGAGTAAACCGATGTGTGTATATTAGGGTATCATCAACACATTTCAAACATTTCAATACAATACACTGCATAGTTCAATATACCTACAGCACAAATAGTTGACATGTACTGTATCTTCTTCGTAGTTTTGAGTAAATCAGTTTACTGGCTGTGACACTGGTGTTGCATCTTGTCGCCCTGGTTGAACTCCAAAACCCATCAAATTGTTAAAGGAATACATCACCTACGTCACCTAACCCATTAAGTGAAGAAAAGACAGATCCCAAAATCATTCATCTCTCCGGCACACCATTCAACACTTGTAGCAACTCTACAGTTGAAGGAATTAAAAATGTGAAGCTGAGTCTGGCTGTTTTATACATTAAATATAATAAGATCCATAAATAACACAGTTTTAAACTAGGGATGACTTTATCTACCTTCCCTCTTTATAGAATATAGTGAAGGTGATGACTAACCCCTACAAGGCAGCAGCCTCTTCCATGGTTTTAATTTTATTTCTCGTGTTAAGTAGACTAACTAGTTAATTTTTCAAACATTGAGTGGACCCCAAATATTGAATATTTTCAATGTATTGCACAACACAATACAGCAGCACCAGTAAATATGGCCTACAAAATAACAAAAGTTGATAAGCCTCATAAAGTTAGGATTTATTGCCGGGCTGTAGTATTGGATTGTATTAGATGTATACCTAATAAACTGGCAACTCAGAGTACTTAAGTAATTGTTGATTTAACTTAATTTATTGTGACATTAGTATAAACAAAACACAATAAATTCAAAATGTATGCAATTTACCACATATAATGAAAAGTGCTAGCAACAGTTTACTACTCAAACTTTGGATTGTGATTGATATTTAAGATCACAATATTGTTGAGACTAAAATGTCAGCTGTGATTTTCCAGCGCGTCTACCAGTGGATGATTTTGCATTTGTATTTTTCATCACCTAACGGGAAGATGGCCAAGAGGTCAACCAAAATAATTGGTGTACTCCTTTGACAGAAAATGGAGTAAACAAAGTATAAAGGTTAAAACTAGGAAATGCATAAATAAATAAATACATATATCAATTATAAAACATAACATAGAACACTTTCTTTCACACACACTCAGACTGTCTTCTCTGTGTAGCCATTCTTCTGTTTTTAAGTCATTGGATATAAAATCCTCTATGAAAGACAAAACCGAAAACAAAAGAATGGCTACTGAAACCACACAAAGAGCTGATGGACAGAATCTCGCAAACACTAAATAACTGTCCACTCTATACAAAGTGCATATACCCAATACTCTGCCTTTGAGGGCTAACATATGGCCCATCAAACAACAAATACAGTGAGGATATTATCACATGTTAGGTAAACAAAATTCTCATTTTCATTTTTGAAACGAGTTGAAATGTTTAGCTGTTTGCTGATGCAATGCAATATATGTGAATATATCTCAGGCCACTGATACTTGGCCCATAGAAAATTGTCAAAAAGCATGGATGTTAAAAGTTTTGGATTGAAAGTTTACAGAACTTTGAGTTTTAAAATTCAAATTTAAGTGGTGTAAGCTGTGACCAACCTCAGAAAGCTGTCAAGGCAAACACCCAAAACATGCATCTTATTAAGCCTTAATATCATTATCAGGGAGTACAAATTTCAAAATAAATTGTTATATAAAAATGAATGAGAGAAGCTGGACATTTTCTCAGTTTCAATACATTCTGAGTCTGGAGCAAACATCTAGTTTTCATTAGAAGAGCTGCACCTTACAGCAGCTTCTGTAAAGGCTTCAACTGTTATTGCTGATGCCTTGAACATATTTATATTAACTTTTAGTTTTAGCTTTAGGACCCAGATCACCTGTTTGTTACTTGGTGGGGTTTAATTTTACCTGAACAGTCATATATTCTGTTTCAAATTATAAAGATTTTTATAATGCCAAACAAGCCTTTGGCATGGAAAAAATGATGCAATTGATGACATAAAGATTGAATGACAATGAAATCATTTAGTGACGATGAATAATTGGCTTCTCTCTTCTTTCCTAAGTAAAACATTAAAATACTTTTTCTGCAGTGCACAATGTAGCAACAAACGTGATGTCTCAATGTGATGTGTGGGTATAATTTTAGAAACAGTACCTTCATGCAAACCCCTGGATTTGTTTGAACTGGGCCTTAAAAGGTTATTCAAACAGTACAACTGGTCCCTATTTGGTTAGTGTAAAATACTATATATTACAAAAAAATAATAACTAATCAAGTAAAAACAATTGTTGTAACTCCATCACCACATACATTGAAATCTGACTGAAACTTCTCAACACTTCTCTTTGGATCTTCACAAGTCCCAACAGGAATTTATTTCTGCAAAGCAGCCAAATCACCATAACTCAGAGAGAAGCCACAACTTGGGACATCATGGGTAATTAATCTGCCATATCAGGGTTGGAGCGTCCAGAACAGAAGCTTCAGACATCTTTTCATTTGGACAGTTTGCTGATGACTCGAATGAGAGCCCCATTCTCGTCCTTTAGCCTCATGTTGTCTGACTTGAGCTCCGTTAAGATCTGGGACAACAGGAGGAAAGAAATGATATTAGAAAATTATAGCATCATCACAGTTAACTGAGTGAGGAATATGATAAATGGTTTGTGGATACTGTGAAGTTTAAAATTTAAAGCTTCAGGTGGTAATGACACAATTGACCAGTACTATCCACTGTAATGATAAAATGTCTTCAATCACCACCAACAACAAGCGGACTAAAAGTTGTCTTCCAGTAAAGTTTGAGGCCCGGTAATGAGGACATGCTTTACGGTACTCGATCATGCAAGTGAGGAGTGACTTTGACAGTATGTTCTGCATGTGAGAAGTGAAAGAGAATGTAGTGAAAGTCAAAGAGAGAGAAACTGAGATAGGGTCAATTTCCCAAATCTAGGTCATGTCTCTCATGAGGAGCAATGACTAAAAATAACCACCCTCTTTGCCAAAGTATTTCCCCTCTACTAGAGACAAACAATAACCCTCTGCTCTATTACCGAAAACTGGTGAATGAGCAAAGGCATTTGGCATCAATATGTTCATAACCTGTGGCAAATCACATGTTTGGAGCCCCTTTTCTATTATGTTTTCTCTCTTTCTCTCCACAGTATACTGAAAAATGTTCACAAACCAAAACACACAGAGAAGCAAAATCTGTCACAAATGTGTTTGTGTCTTACCCAGTGGCACAGGGCTTGTTCATTTTGAAGCCTAATGATCTCACACGTTTCATTTCCTTTGAAAGATTGACTAGAATGGCTATTTCCTTGGCAAACAGCTTTACATTGATTACACAGCACATTACACAGGGCCCACATATATTTCACTGTTGCAAGATCAATAACCTCTACGAATGTGTGTATTCATTATGGTGCTGATTGCTACTTTAGATGTTTAATTTAATACATAACCAAGAAAAACAACAACTCTCAATGCAGCGTTCATGTCATGTGAAGCCCCAAGCAACATGAATGTAGCTAAAAATAAACTTCAAAGGAGGCTTATGAGAAATGTTTTTGGGGGGAGGGGTCTGCAGGGTGGCCTTCAGATTGCCATAAAGGAGACTGGGTTAAAAGAGTGCAGAGGGAAATGCATTGCAGTGTGGGGGGAGTGAGCATCAGGAGGGTGCAGGACCTGCCTGAGAGGAACACAGCAGAGGACGAGGGGGCTGTAGAGGCATCAGAAGGAGAGAGGAGTGTAGAAGTTATGTGGCTGAGAAGGGGAGAGGAGGGGGAGAAAGGAGGACACATGATGTCAGAGGCTCAGAGGTCCTCTGTCTCCGGCATGGAGGCCGTCTCAGAGAGGCGGGCGAGGACACGCAGCATGGCTCTATTCTCAGCCAGGAGACACTCGTTCACCCTCCGCAAGCTCTGGACCTGAGCCAGAGCAGGGAAAGCCTGCACAGAGGAGGAGAGAGATATAGAGAGGGGCAGACAGAGAAAGCATGCAGGGAGGCAGGCCATGTGCAAAGAGAAAAGACTCATATAGAGACCGTATACATATCCACTCATACAGGCATACGCCCACACACCTACACAGACAGGAGCAAACAACAACAGATCTGAGGGACTTATCACCAGAACTTATATAAGCAAATTACACAACAGGGAGATTTTGAGAAGAAAAAGGAAAAGCTGCGAAAAGCAGGAAAAGGAAAATATGAAGCCAGTTCTGCTTGGGTTTGTACTCATCAAAACTGGGCTGTGGTGAAGAGCTAAAGTGTTATTATACGCATAGCTTTGCAAAGGAGAGGGAATTAAAATTCATACAAATTCACATAACCTAAAACTACTATTTCACGCTTCGCATAAGAGCCTAGTCGGTTATAAGTTGAAGGAAAATAAATGATTCATTTCCCTTTCCTCTTGGCCTGACTTTTTGAGGTAAACCTCAATGTGGTTCGACAGAAATGTCTGTGGTTTGACGCGATTCCTAAGGGTAAACCACAGAACACACACACATAAACACACACACACACACACACACACACAGGGCACTTGTAGTGTTTCAGGCTACCCAAACACAAGTTTGTAGACCTGAATATGACCACGGATGAGGTTTAAGAAGGGCTTTCAGCTGCTTCTTACAATACCAAAACACATTTATTAAAGCAATTTGAAGCTAGCCTGTGTTTGGGACCTAACCGTTCATGCATATAATGTTCTCTTGGTATTAGAATAAAACAGTTCACTTTCTGGAGAGGTGCCCTTGGCAAGAGGGAAGAGAGGAGCAGAGTGAGGCAAGAAAGCATAATGACTGGTATCCTTTATTACAATCTCTTAATATTGAGCTCTTTGATATTAAATTAGATCTGACCACACTCTGAAGTCCTGCAGATAATTTTACACAGCTACAATTAATTACGTTTCAGATGATGTCAAGAATAATTCAGCCTTTCTGTAAGAAATATTAAACCCTGAAAAGTAATCTGACACTAACACATCGACACTATTTCAAAAGGGAAAACAAGGACACAGTTTTATTGATGTGAAACACCTGAAATCAGAACCAGTCGATTACAGATCTGCACTGTCAGCAGGTTCAGACCTGACGAGGTAGTTCCAGTCCAACCTGCACCCATCAATTGGAGTTGAAGCCGGGCTTGTATGCAGCATCTTTAGGCAGCAAGTGTATTTTATCTTTATCACCTTGTAGAGTGCAGGTTTTGAATAGCTATTCACACAAAACAGCAGCAGCAGTTGTAACACTCACAGTTTTGTAGGTGTTAAAATTACAGCAGCTGTTACTTTGTTTGCCTGTTGAAAACAACACTGACATTTCTACATCTGTGTGACGTGAGTGCGCTATATTTCCTTTTCAGTAGGTGGCGTAGGTTGTCACTAATCTGACAATGACTGGGACAGCTCCCCCTTGTGGTGAATCTGTAACTCGCTAAATGTGAACAAGTGACTTTGTTAGTGGGTGACTAGCCAGCTTTCTGGCGTGCTTTGCATTTAAGGAAAGTTAAAAAAAAAGATTGTGTGCCTGTAGCATTTATAGTCTCAAGTACTTAGAGCTTATAATGTGATGTACATGGGTGTCCACACGTGTAAACATGCCCGGATCTCTGACAGAACAGAATCATGTGAGGTGACAGGCAGGTGTCAATCACTCCTCTGCGTCATAGCGACCACTCACCATCCCCCCTCCCCTGAGACAGCCTGCCCTCAGGGTTGGTACCCACAGCGGAACCGCAGTGGGGCATCCTGCTGAGGGAACCACGACAACATGGGGATGAAACATCTGCTGCTGGCTTGTGGCTTATTTATGTCCTTGACACTGTCTTTCTGGTCATATTTTCTCTGACCAGAACTATGATTTTATTTTTCTTGAGGAATATATGACATAAGTATATGAGTTTCAAATGTAGTGCAAACTTTAACAGAAAACCTACAAAAGAAATGCAAATTAGTGCACGTTTCCATCTGGTACTGTTATGCTATTATTAGGAGGTTTCTTGGAGACACTCATTTTCCAGTCAGGTGCATTTAAACCATTGCAGAAGAAGACAACAAGATGACCTAATTGTGACTGTAAAAGCACCAGTCAAACCTTAAAGGGTTAAAAACACACTATGTTTGTTTCATGTATTAATTTGAGGAAGGTCACAGTTTCGTCATCGCTCCACACAAATCAGATTTTTCTTTCTATTCTTCTATTTTAGGCTCTTCAGTGGAGGTTTCAGTCACATGCTTTATGTACGTCATGGTTTATTTGTCTGTTTCCATTGCACTTGGTTGCAATTTGCTTGTATTAATACACCAACTCTTGCAAAATGAAAATAAAAACAAGTGGTTGGAAGTCCACTTAATATAGCTGTAATTTGCACTAACAATCAAATTATAACCTCATTGTGTAATTTGTCACTGCTTGCACAAACTACACACATACTGTGCAGACCACATCTACTCAGGCCTGAAATCTCTCTGCTGCTGCTCTGCCTTGTGTTTCTTTGTGAAGCAGAATACACACAGTGCAGTGCAGGAATGTCTCACAAAAGCAGGTCTTTTGCTCTTGGACGGGGTTTGGTATTCAGCTGGAACTAGGTCACAATGTTCACCCCAACAGTGGGATAAGTGGAGCAGGGGAGCAGCAGCACAGGCTCCTCCTCAGCCTGGCAGGAAGTGGCCCAGCACAACACTGTGGGTAATGAGCCTGAAGCATTAACCTTCCCTCTCCTTGACTCCAAACCCACCTGGCTAACCAAAACCCTGCAGTGTGCTATGTGTGTGTTTTGCTTTGTAAAAACACTTTAGGCGTGCTTGATTTAGCATAGGTGAATTAGGCTTGGCTGGAGGTGTGCATCTACGTACTGTTAGTGTTGGGGGAAAAACACATCACTGAGATAAATGACGCACAACTTGTATCAGATATAAAATATGCCATTTAAACCCAGGGTGAGTCTGCAGAACATATTTTTGCATGCACTGACCTTTAACTCCTCCTCCATGTTTGACACTCTTTTCTCTAACGCTTGTTTTTCCTGTAAATAAAGAAGAAACAACTGAACAAAAATGTGTGCAGACTATAATTTGCAGTACAAGAAAAGATGTGGACGTACATCTTGATTGTGCAGAAGAGCGTGATTGAATAAAATACCAAAATGCCAAAAAGTTGTTTAGACACTTACCCTTTTCTCTGAATCAAGTACTGAAGATCTCTCTGATATTCTGTCCTGCCTCTAGAAGATAGAATTGTGCTGTTATTGTATTGGAAAAAATATCGAAAGACTATATATAGGACAGTGACAGTTTCTTTCGTTTTCATCTTTCAGTTTTTAGTACCTGAGTGACTTTCTCCAGCTGGGAACGTATTTTGACCAGTTCTTGTTTGCTGTCCTGCAACCTGGACTTGAGCCTCTCATTCTCATGCAAAGCTTCTGCATACATCTGATGAACAGAAAAGGCATTATTTCAGAGATTTTTTAAGATGGAAAAAAAATGCATGTAAGCAGTACCAAGTGTCTAGTATTAAATAAACAAAAAGGACATTATGTAATAAACAGTAGGTCTTTAAAAGTGTTTAAAATGTGTTCATGAACAGATACATTGTGTATCTATAGAGATAAAATAATTAAAGCTAAAGCCCAATATACAGTTTTAACATTCTTGTTTTTATGACAGAGTTTATTGGATATTATATCGATGTTACAATGGTCTGCAAGGTAAAATGACTGTTTTTGTCTATGGAGTCTGGTGGCGAGTGATTTCTGGTCTGGCAAATGGCTGTTTCTGGTTAAACAAAAGGTCTATTTCTGTAGGGATCCTTTCCGTAATGTTGTCAATGGAAAAAAAACAAGCACCTTTAATGGACGTACTTTGACTGGCACATTTGTCCCAGATTAGCGACGCTGCAGCCAAATGCAGCCAATTTTATGAATATATTCACATCTAAGTTGGTGAATGAAGGGTTCATTTCGACCAAACCAGCATTGGTGATTGTTGGAAAGATTGTGAAAGACTAACAATGACAGTTTTGGTAAGTTATATTTTGTTTCTGTCTAGTTTGAAGTGTGTTTTATGATTATCTGCGAGGTAAAATGAATGCAGTCTGGTGGCCATAGAGCTCAGTTGTTGTATTGTTTTGACAAGATGCTGCGCTCTAGTGTGACATCTAGTAGCAGTGTATTTGTACATATAACCTTTCAGCTAGATTGGTTATTTTATATTTATATATACAATTGAATTGTGATTTCATAATAATATTTATTGAGATCATGAATAAATCAATGTAATATCAAAAACATTATCCAGAACCAGCTGATGCTGCTGATGTACCTGCAAGAGACCAGTGTCAAATCCTTTTTAATAAATATTAATATTAGACTCTTCAACATCATTAAAATGACTTGACATATTAAAATTAACTATAAACAAATGCGTTTCTAATGTTGATACACTTTTTATATTTTACCATAATGTACTTCATATATTACATATATTACCTATATTACATTTTAGATGCTATTTTAGTCATATATAGATGTTATATGTGTGAATACTTCAGAATATTAACAAATACTTAAAAATTAAGATTTTAATACTGTGAATTATCTAAATCTAATTAAATCTCCATCTGTTTGCCCTTGTTGGAATGGTATAAAAATAGATCTGCATGGTGATCCAACAGGTCGGGACCCCAGCTGTCTGCACCACATGAATCATGCAAGAGGGATTGTGCTTGTTTAAACTGAGAGTTACTACCTTCTTATAGTCTTTGGTAGTGGAGTCTTGCTCCTGTCTATTCAGAGCGGCCAGCCTCGTCTCCCTCCGTGTGTAAGAGCTGGTGCGGCCCAATGGTTTGTCTGTTGCATTCTCCCCACTGGAGTCATATCTAAAGCAACACATTCAGCACACAATGCTGCTTTATTTAGGGCGTTTATTATTTATTTTTTGTCAGGAAATACAGTTCAGTTCAGTTTTCATTGGAGATTAAAAACAACGCTAAATCCTTACCTTGACAATCTGTCATGCTGAAAAACAAAGAATAAACCATGTTAGTCTGATCACTCTGCACCACAGCATGGGAACACAGTGTAAAAAATGTTCTGTCGTGGTTATATCCAGATTTATTTGTTTGATAAGCCCAAACAGAGGCTTGGCAGTGAAATATATTCCATTTTGAGACTACAGAGAACACAAACTTCCAAGTGAATTATCACAGTGAGTTCAGAGGCCTGAAGTCCCAGAGGAAAGAAGGGCATGCAGAAGTGAGATATAATTCACCCCAACACTGCAGCGACAGGGTTCACCCAGGTCAAACCTCCCTGGTGAGCCTGGTTAATCTTTTAGAACAGGCGGCTGCCACGCAAATGCCTGCAGTATAAAGATGACATCATGACATCAGTAGCTAAGTATCTCCTGTGTGACGGGTCGACGTCTGACCTCAGTCAACAGACTGATAGCAGACTGTCCTGGCAGGTTTTTGCTAGTCCAGTGTACATGGCTGCCAAGTTGCCTGTTGTGATTACATACTGAATTTGTTTAAGTCCAGGTATTGTGCTACATTCAGAGGAGCTGTATGTGTATTTTTTCACTTACTGGATTTCACTCAGGTCTCATCATATTACCTCAAAGATGTGCCGATAAATAATTACCACAGAATCTGTAGGTGTAGTTTATGTGTCTACTGCCTCCCTAGGTTGTGTGTGCAGAATCTCTAACATCAAATTTGATGCCTATCCAGACCCGTTTGTGCACTGAACAAAACTGAACAAATAGATAACTCACTGCCATCAGCTGCTAAATGTAGCACATGAGAGGATGATAACTGGAAGTGTTTACTATCAGTCAGAGACTGGAAAAGAGATGCGGAGCAGGAAGGAGAGGATGACGTAAAAGAGGCCAGACTGATGCATGATGTCTTTGCAATATCTGACGCAGTCTCGTAAACTTTACTGCTAAACACAAAGATTTGGAGGGAAAAAGGGCTTTAAACACCTCTGTTTGGACACGCTTTGCAATAAACGTCTTGTGTGGTGGTCCAAGCCGTTTGAGACAATAAGCAGATGAACAGTAGACTGGCATTAACAGCAATATGTCAATTTATGTCCAAAGAAACTGAGTGCACAGTTGTTCAAATCTGCACTCACAACTGGCGAGTTGGGGGATATTTCATGCAGCGTCAAAGGAGCTATTCCTCTGCAAGTGTTTACATAACTAAGCCAGCGCTGCCTGTCCTTATGTGGTCATGTGCTTAAGCAGAGCCATCCAGGAAAAAACAGACCTCTATGACCTCAGATGAAAAAGGGCCAAGGATGGAGCCAAGAGGAGCTCTAACTCACTCCAGTCTCTTTGTGCAATGGTGAGGAGATTCCACGATCAGATTTGGTGTACATTTATTAATCAACAGGGATGATTGGCCCCCTGGTTTTATGAATAAATTATCCTGATGTCTGCTTTTGGGCATATGAACTGTAACACAGCCCTTCACCAAATTCTTTTCAAGATTATAAGTTCCTGTACGCAAACCTATTTCACACTAAAGGATTAGCAAATTGGTGAAATTAGTTTTTTAAAAATTTAATTCCAGTGAAATCTTAAGTGAGTCCGGTAGGATTTACAGGACAGGAAATCCTTACAGTAATACATGCTCTTACATGTATGTCTGCATCCAAATTGAGCCAAAGCCAGAAACTGAATCACAGTTGCAATTCTACTTCTGATAGCAGCTGCACCAATGTGATTCCCTTGTTAGGAAAAAATAGAGAAGTCAGAAGTGGCAGATGTAGCTCGGCAAACTATGTGAGGCAGAGCAGATGCAGGAGGAGACGATCAACTAAGGGGAAGAGAAAAACAACAGGATGTCAGACTGATGGAAACAGCCTCCAAACGGGTGCATGCTTGAACCACGGGCGCTCTGTAAACACAACTGCCTCCAGTTTTATGGTTTGCCAGTACCAACATCATACACACCAGGAGGGATGCTGCATGAGCTCACTGCTACAGTGTATAAATGATAATGTAAACAGCAGTTTGCAAGAGCCAATGAAATCATCATCAAGAGACTCTTCACCTTCTCTCACTCTCCTCTTTCACTACTTCCCCTTCATTCTGTCACAGCATCACTCCTTCAGAGCTGACTGGATTTTGTAGTAGGAAAATCTGAGCTACACACACACACTCTCTCTCTCTCTCTCTCTCTCTCTCTCTTTCTCTCTTCAGCCCCTCCACTGGAACTGACACGGCACACAAAACCATAAAAGACGTTTCCACATTCACTCACCTTTTCTCACTCCTCCTTGTCTATTAACTCTTTACACTACATCTGAGCCTTTTGTGGTCACTTAGAGCACCTTACTCTTTTGTCTTTTTCAATACCACTGAAATGCCTCACATTGAACGGTTGGAGAAGTATTCCAACGTAGGGGTCAGGACCCCATTAAAAAGGTCACAAAATAAATCCGGCTAGCTGTGAGATGATTAATGTGATATATGAAAAAAAGAAAAACCTGGATTCTACCACACAAATTTATATATACAGTATATTTTAAATTATTCTCTAAACTTTACTTTTTTTAATGAAATATTGGAAACATTTACCTCTTTGGCCTTTCCACTTGTATGTTTAAAGAAAACCGTCTTAGAAGTTTAGAGGTAAAACATTTATTTAATGGAAGTGCTATAACTCATAGACATCTGAACTCATAGAGGCAGTTTTCTGGGGAAAAAGTCTCAAGCCAAAATTGTTGGTTTAATCTAATGTGTTATGTTTTATATATATTTTCTTTAATGTAGAAAAAAATAGAAGCTATAGCAGTAAAACAAATGTAGTGGAGTAAAAAAGTAAAATATTTCCTTCAGAAATGTAGTGGCGTGCCTCAAATTAAGAACAGTACAAATGTAGTGGCGTGCCTCAAATTAGGAACAGTACATGAGTAAATATACTTAGTTACACAGTTTTCCGCCACTCTGAACATCTGCCAAATGATCAGTGTCATCCAATGATGCAAATGTGTTCCTGTTTATACTTCTTCCTGTGGCTAACAGCTGTAACACACATTGTACTTTACTAAAGGGTACCAGTTTCACATCAAAATATTGCGGCAAGAGCTAAAAATACTGCATCAATCTGATTCCATCCCCCTCTACATTACATTTTCTCTCTCATGAAAACTCAACCCAATTCAGATTGAGCTGACATTATGGAAAATAAACGACTTTCACCATGGATCTTGTCGGAGACACTGACAGAAAAGACAGCATCCACTGGTAGCATTTGTTGTTACAAACTGAGCTAGAATGAAAACACGTCTGTAAATTGACAGAATCACGTTGCCTCTTATATCTACATTTCTTCCTGTCCCTTTAAATGTGGCTGTCACACAGAGTACAGCTCAGTCTGGTGCTCTGACATAAACACAACAGTCAAAACAACGCCCATGAGAATAAGCCACTTAGACAGAAAAAAGAAATAACAGGAAATTACAGAAGGAATGTTTCAATCCAAAAGTCTTTTCTAGAAAGTGTGGTCAGACTCTCATTGCTTCAGAGTAAATACTCGCCTCTCTTTCATGGGGTCATCAAATAAGCTCAGCTGATGAGTGCTTCACAAGTTATTTAATTTTAATAAACTCATTTAGTCAATCAAAAGAGGCCGATTAATCATATAAATTACACATAATCATGTTGAAATTAGGAAATAACTCTTCTCCTGTTAATGAAATGATAAATGATTTGCCTGTTTAACTGAACTCCCTCACTCACAATGGCACATGTCCAAACACATAAATACTTTGGCTTTAACTAACAGTCAATTAATCTGCCAGTTATTGTCTTGAATAATTGTTTTGCTTAAAAATTTTATTAAATTCAGAGAATACACTTTCATATAATTTCCAAATCCAAGGTGACATTCAGTTAACTATCTTATATGACTAAGAAAAGTAGTCATTCTTCACATTTGAGAGGCTGAAATGAATAGTTGGTAGTCTTCGCTTGTTTTATTAAAACAATTAATGAAAATTGAATAGAAATTGCGGCCAATTCATTTTCTGACTAAACAACTAATCAATTAATTGTTTTAGTCTGAATCCAGAAAAATATCTATCTAGAATAACCCGGCAAGAAACAAGAAAATGGGTGCTTTCTTTAAGTTTTTGGACAGTACAAAGTCACTTGACAGCAAATAAATAAACTAAATAAACAGCTTCATGAAAATAAATTACACATACACAGATATGACATTAGACACGTCTATACTGTTAAATTGGTGGTGAAATCATGAAGTTTAAAATCTAAAAGTTGTTTTCTCCAAAAGAAAAGTTTCTGGTCTTACTCTGTAGTTTTTGTCTGTAGGAGATGGAGAGGATGGCGGTGAATCTGTCAGTGACTTCCTGGTGCGAGTCAGGTCCTTGGTGCGGGGGTAGTAGGATGACATTTCCTTCCTCTACCCTGGACAGGCAGGTTAACTTCTACTGTAACATTCACTGAGGCCACCAGCAGATAACAGCTGTACAGATGCACAGATTCCCTCAAGCAACAGTGACGCAGATGCCCATTACTGCGATCCTGGGGAATCCTCAGCAACAACAGGTGTGTGTATGTTGTGTGTGAGTGTGTGTGTGTGTGTGTGTGTGTGTGTGTGTGCGTCTCAGTCCAGCTTCACAGTCCCGTGAGCTGGAGAGAGCTGCAGCTAAGTTTGGAAGGATTTTAGATGTGTGGTCACGCCTTCTTCAAAGCTCAGACAGTGAAGAAACAATCAGATAAAAATGCAACAGAACGACAACACTAAATAACTAAGAAATAACTCTTTAACTAGTAAAGCAAGCAAATTATCATCCCTTGTCTCCGCTCTGTTGACACTGAGGTATTTGATGAAATGTGAAAAAGTCCAAAAGGAAGCAGCCAAGAGAGAAAAGTTTGTTCCCAATGCTGTCTCTTCCTATGTTTCCCAAAGTTATACACACACTCTCTCTCTCCATCTACCTCCCTCCCTTGCTTTCTCTCTCTCCTTCTCCTTTCACTGCTTGGTCGCCCTCCCAGTCCCTCCACCCCCTCTACCTCCACCCACCCGGCTTCTCCCTGCTGTCTTCAGCTTTGGCAGCCTGCCAGAGGCTCTGCTATGGCAGGACTCGGCTCCGAGGGCTAAAATTGTCCACTGATGTGGACTGGGATATGGGGAGGTGGAGCACAAAGCTAGAGTCGGAGGGGGGGCTGCTGCAGTTTGTGTCCTGGAAGGTCAACACACAGTATTACCTGAGGAGCCATCAACAACAGTGAGGTGTCAAGTAACTCTGTACACCCTACAGTGTGATGGAGAGAAGAGGCTGTAAGTATAAGTAGTAGAAAGTGATAACATGCAGCCACGTTTCCTCTTACCAAATTATGTTTAATTTATTCACATTTTGATTTTGTCCTACAGCTCTGGTAATTTTTCTCATCCTGTGGCCTAATAAGGCTGGTTGGTTTCTTCAAAGTCACCTTCTAATTAAAGGACGCTTATTTGCTTTCTTACTAAAAGTTAGATGAGGAGATTGATACCACTCTCATGTCTGAAACAATAAATACTGTATGAAGCTACCATACAGCCAGCAGCCTGTTAGCTTAGCTTAGCTTAGCACAAAAACTGCAAATGGGGAAACAGCTAGTTAGGTGTGAAGGTAACAAAATCTTGCCTGTTTAATGTATCTTTTCTGTTGAATTTGTACAAAAACCAAGTGTAAAAAAACAAAGTTGTGGTTTACGTGTGGATGTCACTGCACCCCGCCAAGAAATCATGTGGCACGTAAACCCTGTAAAACTGCAACTTCTTGTTTTTACAGTTTGGTTTTTGCACAAATTAAACAAACAAGATATACCATTTTAATTAGTGAGCTGTAGACGTTCTGGTAGGCAGATTTTGTTATCTTTGGAAGGAATCAGGCTAGCTCTTTCCCCTAGGTTCCTATCTTTATGCTAAGCTAAGCTAATCGGCGGCAGACTGTCACTTCACATTTACCTTACAGATATGAGAGAGTGGTATCAAACTCTCGGTAAGAAAACAAGTAAACGTATTTCCCAAAATGTCAAACTGTTCCTTTAAACAACCCCCCTTACTTTCTATCCCACAGTCTGCACAAGGCGATCTTCCTTTTATAGTGAGGTTCGCAGCGCCTCGCTGTTTCCTCATCCTTGCTCAGGGCGAATAGAAAGAAGGAAAGATAGGAGTAAAACAGAATTACACAAAAACACAGAAGGGGGGAAAAATAGAAAGACGGAACCAATATGAAAGAGAAAACTAAAGAAAATGAAAAAGACTTCTAGATTATTTACCAAAAAGACTGTGGTGACATGATGTGGCTCTCAGTTTAGTGGTAATGAACAATTTACACACAATACATTAACATAGAGACACTACTTTACCCCCAAGTATGCTTACTTGCCTCTTAAGCTCTTCATAGCTCTGTTCATAGTTTTGGTTCCTAAACTATCCTGTATTGTATCAATGATACACTGTGTGGCATTTTGTGGCAGATGATGACCCATGTAAGTTCCAAAACTGAAATGAGCTATAACAAACATTTGGTATATACAGTATACGGAGAATGTGACTTGGTGGCAGTGAACTACACTGGCGTTGTTGGAGAGTTTTATTTAGAGTCAATCCAAACTGGAGTCCCCCCTGTCTGATCCTCACTCTTAGTTTCAGGACTTTCCATACGGAATATTATTCTCATGCATTTCATGAATAGAGAAAATGAGCAACCAGAGTGAGTACTTGATTTTTGGAGTTAATGAGGAAGAGCAGGACGCCCTACCAGCAGGATCTAATTACTGAAATCCCATCCAATATAAAGTGGTACTGTCGCAGACAAACTGTCTGCAAAGGTAGTCTTACTTGCTCTGTCTCTGTTTATTCCTTCTATCATAATTGCCAACAGCATCAACTATGCTACACCAAGTAGTAAATTCTCTAGCTGACTTGCTCTACACCTGTCTTTCTCTCTGTTGCTGAAAATCAATGTGGAAAATCTGCTCAGATCATCATGGAGTCGTGCAGAGGTCGGCTCTGGTGATGAGCTGCCTGTCATGCTTCTGATGAAACCTCACTGCTTGGTATGATTATCACAGACAGATATAGTCCTCTCAGTAACGCTAAGAGACTCTCGTGTTACTAACAGATCACTGTTTTAGATTCCACCATGGCTGGGGCACAGCTGAACCCTGGAGTCAGTTCACAGGAAATGACTTTCAGTTCATACTGTTTAATCTTGTAAAAGTCACTCTTCACTACCTTATCGCCTCTGTGTCCCCTCTCCTTCCTGTTCACTGTGGTATCTATTTTTATCTTCTTTTTAGAAACACAAAGAAATAGAATATTCTCTATGGAATTGCTAGGCTGCACCCAGTAGGAGTGACAGGTTCTGGGTTTTTCACATGCAGTGCACAGGTGGAGAGAGCACAGTATCAGTTTAGAGGGGAAAGAGAAGAGAAAGTAAATCCCTCTGAATCCAGGGCTAAGACTAAGCAGAGAGCGTCTCAGTTTTGCCCAATATGGTATGGAATGCTGAGACACCTCAGCCATGTGATGTGAAGAAGCAAAGCGACTTAGAGGGAGGGTTAGTGGGGGGGTTGGTCTTCCTGGACTGTCTTTCTATGAGACATTAACCAGCACTTCTACTTAAAAGAATCTGTAAACCCCTGGTTTATGTCTATGATTGCGGTACATCTCAAAATATTGCATCAGAGATCAGAGCTTTGCCTTTGAAGCATACTTAGCTTTCGGGGTGAGGGAGAAACAGGACGTGGATGTGAAACAATGGCACTAATGAATATTGAACAATGATTGTGGCATAAGATTCTCAGCTGTGAGGTATTTAATATCGAGATGCCTTTGTCATAAATAGAGATCATTTTTACTTTGTTGACGATAACCAAAGTATGTCATGAGCCCACTTAAATTTAGAAACATATTCTCAAAGGATCTCAATGTATTCGAGCGTAGTTTGTATCAAGTGAACTGTAAATACTCAGTTCTCTAGGCATGAAAAAATAAAATATCAAAGTCTTTTAGCTCCATCTAGTGGCTCTACTGGAAAACAACAGCAAATAGATTGCCACCAAGCAGAGTGGCTGAAATCATCTTTTTTTATGTGACTGTTAAAAGAGCACAATAGTTTCCACGTACCTCCGCAGTGTTGTAGTCTGAACCTTCGACATCGCAGCAGTGTCGTCTCTGTTGCTGCTTTGTGGCTAAACTGAGCTGTGCTGCATCTTCAACAGGGTTCTGATTTTCATCTCTCCACCATCTCTCACCAGCTGCACATACAGTATAAAGTAAGTATATCTATTCATCACTGCTGAAAATGTTCAGTGACACAAACGCTTATTGACAAACGTATCGCTAATGTTCTGT